CGGAGAGGCAGCGTGTGGGCGACCTCCACAGCGCCGTGGTCTCTCCCCTGCAAGAAGGACGACACAGGGAAAAGTTCATTCTCACCCCTGATCCCACGTGCAACCCTCCAGCAAGCCCTGCTGGCATTTGTTACCCTTTATTAGCATCGCGTATGTCCGTTTTGGCCCACCACATCAGAATTTTTGGGTTTTTTTTTAAATCATCTCCAGCAAGACAAAGTGTTGTCAGGCCCATATGAAGTCCCTGACGGACTAGAAGAGCAAGTAGCAGCGTCTGATGGAGCAGTTCAGAGAAGGCTGAGAACAAAGGGAAGAAGAGGCCTCCAAAAAGCCGAATTTTGAGCTAGCCAAAAGGGATTACTAACTAGATCAGCATTTTAAAAAAGCTGAAGTTTGAGGTCACATAGGCAGCTAAAAGAAGAAAAACTGAATTCTTTTGCAGGTCAGGTCTGTCAAATGCTAAGGCAGCTTCCTGCCCCCCCCCCCATCATCTTCCCCCTCCCCCTTTTTTTTAGCCAATTTTCATGAATAATTACCATGTTGAAAAAAATAGCAGGGATATTCTAAAATCAAGTGAAATTAAAGATAACATCATGAATAAGTGGGAGCCTGCAGCTCCCAAGAAAAGCTTTAAAATGACATTTAGAACATCACTGTCGGAACAATGCAGTTTACAATCCTGATCCTAAAACAACATGGCAAGATTAATCTTACATAAATGCATTATCCTTAAGCTAAAGTCTTGATGAAGTGAAACAGACCATTTTAAATTAATGCAACATAAAATACGGCACCCATGTAAAATCCAAGCAAGTTTCAAGCTGTGCCTATGGCAGCCCTCGAAATAGCTGAAGAAAGCCCAGCTCTGGTTGACATAATGTATTAAGTGCATCTCTTTTGTTAATAGATTTAGAAAATTCCTAATTAAACCTGGCCCGAGATTCATGACATTTACCAGTCAAAGTTTGGTTTAAGTCAGAAAGATTTGCAACAAAATTAAAGAAAAAAAAGCTGCTGTACAGACGGCAGTATATTTGAAATGTAGGAAACAGTAACTGAGTGAGAGATGTGATAAAACTTCCTTAGTTGGATGCTGAATTTCCTGCAGTAAACCAAGAAAGATGCTTTACATTTTTGCGCGGCTGCATCACGCTTGAGAGACAGAGCCACAATTCCAGGAGGAGGCATTCATCATTAAAACGTCTCGTATCGAACCGGCTCTACGTACACGGGGGAGCGCAGCGGGGTTTCGCCGAGCTGGGGGAGGAGGGGATGGGATGGCAGGAGCCTTGCCCCAGTTTCCCTGGGTAAGAACTGAAAAAAAGGGTGTAATTAGAGGTGCTTTTTTGGGATGGATAGGCTGCTGGGTGCTGGGCAGCAGGGGCGTGCCCCGCGGGTCCGGGCACCACCTGCCCATGGACCACGCAGCACTGGGGACCCGTGAAAAGGCTAATCCGTCCTCCTCCCACGCGGCCGGGAGGTGCAGAGGGGCCAGGGGCAGTGGCTGGGTGGGTGACTTGCAGAGGGGCCAGGGGCAGCGGCTGGGTGGGTGACTAGACCCCTCCAATGCACAGCCGTGCTCTCGGTTTCACCGTGCCAAAACCTACCCAGCACCTCACTCCCTTGTATCTGCACCATCCCAAGGGGGCAGAGGAAGGCGCACCCTCTTACCTGTCCAAAGTGGAACCAAACTTGTGGTTTCCACAAGATCAAAAGCTACCGCTCAGCATGTGGGTTTAAAATACGTCAGTGGGCCAGCGAGGTTTGTGAACCAGCTGATACATAGCTGGATTGAATTTTTCCTGAAGTGTGAACAATTTACCATTTTAAAAAGTAGGCTTTCTTCACGTTCAGCATTTCAGAGGGAGAGAAAAGCACGGCTTTTTCATAAATGAAACCTACAGCTTCCATGCCAAAAGCTGCTTTCATATCGACTGCTAGGGCTTTTCACCAGTTAACAGGAAAAATCAGTTTGCCTGCATGTTAATATATTGGAGACAGATTATTGCGTGACATTGAAATAAATCGCAATAGTCAGTTTGGAGTACAGATACCTCTCCAGTTTGCTGGCAAGGGGAAAGTGTTGGGACAAGAACTGCAGCTGCTAATCCTGTCTGTAATGCTCACAAGCCAACGGACATACAATACATGCATATTACTCAGATGCTGGTACAGCAGCCTCCATGATTCCTTGATTGTTTGCATTATAATCTCCATATGTATGAACGAGACAAATTAGGTTGCCATTTATTTGTTCATTATCTATTATTTTGATTAATGGAATTCTTGTTCTCAGAATAACTACTTAAAAATAACATTTGCAATAATGAGGACTGAACTATTAATCATGATCTTTTAAAGAAACTCTGCAAGGAACTGGGGCAAGACATTTCATATGAACAAATGTCATAAATAGGACCTCTAACAGACAGTGCTAAAATCTCAAATGCAAAAAAGAAACCCCAACCAAACCCAGAAACTAATGGTCTAAATAACTTTTTCATCTGGGTTTGGGTTTTTTGGTGCTCCTCCCTTCCCTCTGAAGTTGCTTTAGGACAAGCAGGGCATGTCCTTTAGGACATGTATTCATGCTGGTCTGTAAAAATGCTAGAGGTGACAAGATGCCCCCAGCCATTCCCCCAAGCCCCACTGCCATATATACATTGTTTTCCTGATGGTTCATTCCAGCCTGTGTATCTGCCAAATTCTGACTATTCACATTTATTCTATCTCAAGTATTGAGCACTTCAAGAAATATTTTTAAATAGTTATAGTGGAGAAAATTGAGGCTTATGAACTCCTTAATGACGGTAATTCACCCCTGTCACACAGGGCCTACTACGCACCTCTTTTTTCAGTGACAAGGTCCAAGAACTGTGGTGTCCATGGCTCTTTCACAGAAAAGGACCCTCACTGCCTTCCGGCATGTGGAAAGCTTCAGCCAGAGATACCCATGATACCAACAGTTCTTTTTTTTTGTTCTGGGCTTTAGCTTTTAGTTCATTTTCCGTCAGCAAAAGGCTGTTTCTCCAGAGAAGTGAAAGGCTGGAGTTTCGGGGGTTTTGCTCATTCCACTCATACAAAAGGCAGAGAACTCGGTGTCTCTGGCTCCAGCACCGCAAATACGCTTTGCATATATATAGTCTCAATTAGACAGAACTCTTCCTCATTGCTAACCAGTAAATCATGCCTCTTGAACACCCAATTACTTGTCCCTTAAAATTTTTAGAGCATATTATATGACACAGCGCTGATAGAGGATAAACTATATTCCTAAAGCAGGCCAAGTTTTTATATGTTTTTAAAAATGCAACAGAAGAAGTTAAAACGCAAGGCATACGTGTTAGAAATTGCTACCACTGCTGTCAGCCTTTGCAAAAGCAAGCTAGAGACTGACTCCTGTGCCACTGAAGGCACTTGGGAATCGTGCTTCTGGCTGCAATGTCGCAGCATCAGGCACCGACTCTGAAATGACCCCCTGCTTTAGGACAGCTTTGCTCTGGGAGCTGCAGCGGCTTCCGTGATTCATGTGGTCGCAGGGAACCTTCCGAAAGGGAGCCAGCTTCTGTCTTGCCATATATAAGCAATCGGAGTGTGCTCCCCGAATTCATGCCTACTAAATCAGGTCTTTGGATGCTGCTTAGTGTATTCCAAATTAAGATACATATTCATTGTGGATAAGCAAGCTTAATTACGGATATATTGGGATATTTAGCATTTACAAAAATATTCAGAATATTCAGTATGTTTAATATGGCAGCGTTTCAAGAGAATCTACATGACTTTGCACAGATTGTACTGACTTGGGGTACGTAATGAGCATTTTTTTTCCTTTAGACAAAGAGGAGTAGGAAATATTCCAGAGTTCATGGGAATTTCGTTTGATGTAAAAATGGTGGGGGTTTTTTTTGTTGTTTTGTTGTTTTTTTTTGTTTTTGTTTTTTGTTTTGTTTTGTTTTTTGTTTTGTTTTTTTAAGCATTCAGGTAGAAGTACAAAACCACAGAAAATAATGTTACGAAGGAGAAGAACATCTTTTCCTGTATTTTGTTTTTATTTCATTGGTGCTGATGACAAAGCATTAAACGCAGCCCACTGCTAATATTATCAAAACTTGGGTGTATATGGTCTTCTTTACACACCCCTATAGGTGGCCTACTTTTCAGTGATGCTGAACACCTGCATCTCTAGTTGGTGGTTCATTAACCAGCTAGTTTCTTATTTAGACACCTAAATATAGATTTAGCTGGCTCATTTTTTAAAAAGCCTGGCTATAGACCCTATTTTTAACGTGTGGAATTAAAATTATTCTGTGAGAAAACTGCCATATAATGTCACACTGTTGTAAGCTACTATGCTTTAAAAGGACTTTAAAAGCCCTACATAACATTCTTTCACATAGGAAACCTTTAGAGATGATCTTCTGGTTGACTACTGAAGGGAATGGAGGAACTGTGAAATACTAATGTTAATATTTTTACTCTTTAGCAGACTACTCAGGGGAAGATATTTTACCTGTAAGGAGGAAACATTATGTAAAGTGAATCATTTCCACTTAACATTAAAAAAAAACCCCTTTCATTCTCAAGCTACTGTACATGGTAACTATTGTTTCTTGCTCAGAGCATGTGCATGGCACTTCTGTAACTTGAACTGACTTTACACCGCAAACTCTCATATCTGCCCCCAATTAAGAAATGAAATGAAGACACAGAATGACAATGTTTAAAGTGGGAAATTGTAATGTTACCAGAATGCTGCAGGCATCGTTCTCAGTGCGAGCTCGTTTCTGTGCTTCTAAAGGCCCCTACAGCTGCAGGTAGCAATGAGCGTATTCCCTCCCTAACGCCCAGGGAATGTGCAGGTGGAGTCTTCTGGGGGAGCACAAAGCCTGCTCCCCGTGAGAACAGGCAAAACGGCAGACAACTGAGTAACCCTAACCGACACAGACGCTGACAAACGGAGACAAAGGCTGATACCGAGGAGCAAACAAGACAAAAGAAAGGGAACTATCTCCTGACGAAGTGATCATACCGCAGTTTCTGTGGAAGAAATACTGACTGGCAAGAGACGAAGCGATTCACAAAGCTTAACTCTTACCCAGTATTCTGCTGTACTGAGAGATGCTGTAATTTAATCAAATACTTTAAAGACAAATTGACACAGACTGAAACTGCAAGAGCGAACTACATTTGCATGGAAGAAGTTAGTCAATAAATTCTGGCATGGCAGTAGTTTACAAAGGCAAGATTATGAGTAAATTTATTGTGCAATAATATAATCCGAATTACAAAAAGAGCCCAGATGTGGACTGAGCTGCCCCATCTCTTTTTGGATAGATACAGCCATTTCAGCATTTTTTGGAAACGTGATATTACGTTGTCTTTTAGAGGAAAAAAGACCAGATGCCTTCAGAATAAAACCATGAGCATTAAAAGATTAAGGAGCATTTTAAAGATGCTTAGGTTTACTAAATCTACATTACTAAACCAATGAGAATCAAAGAGTCTGCTCTTTGAAGAGTATAGTTCTCCAACTTAGCATAACCTTGCTGCTGTTGTTCCACAACAACTACTGAGTGCTATGCCATCTTTATGAGAGTTGCTGGCCACTCCTGTGGCCTGATGGCAACTCAGATCCTCCTGTGGTAGCAGCTGGGTTCCCCACGTAGCCTTTGGGCCAGAAAGATGCAAGTGCAACAGAGAAGGTGCTAAAAGTCTCAATGAAGGGTGCAGCATGTGAACTATGCGATGTGGTGGTGCCTGGTGAGGATGTTTACTGAGCAAGTAGAAACCAACTCCTAAACTTCACAAAAGCACGACCGCCACAGAGATGCATTCTCTAAGCATAGCCAAAACCATCTGCAATCATTTAGTGAGAGACAGGTGGACAGGAAAAGTGCTGTAGTCAAAACTAAGCTAAAAACATGGATGAAAGAAAAAGTGAGTAATGTTGGAGGCCGTTTCACAATGAAAGGAAACTGCCCATGAGAAGGTGTGCCCTGAAACCCACCTGCCAGGCTGGAAGATGGAGTGGGAAGGTCCAGGTTACGACACTAGTCTCCAAAGACGTAAGACACATGAAACAAATACAGTGTAATGGTTTTCTATGTAACAGCTTTGTCATGTATAATTCAGAGTGCTGAGAAGTGTTTGTTAAGACAGGAAACTCTGTATGCTAGAAACAGGAAAGCATACCACCACACAGAGTCCACAGGAACTGGAGGATGAGAGCCTTTCAAAGGCCAGATACTGGATATCGGGGTATGAATGCCCTTTATAAAAATACAGGCTAAGCATTAGTTGTATTGTTGCACCAGAAAACATGTTAGCTGTAAGAGCAAATTATTGCTAGGAATTCTTTATGTACTATCTCACTATTACATATCACTGCGCATTACAGAGTTACCTATCCCACCCACTCCCCAGTAAGTTGGTAACATGTTTATTTAATCACTAACTACCCGCTCTACAATTAACTGACTCTCTATATAACAGACTTCGATAAAACACTTAAAAAATTTAAGAGCTAAAAGTCAAGCAACACCGTTATTATTTATACATGTTATAAAACAGTCAGCGCTTTAGTGATGAGTATCACTGTGCAACTTTTTCCCAGCTACCACATTAAAAACCAAACATCCAATTAATTGTAAAACATACTTGTTTTGGGGCATCTGCGGAGGTGGTGTGAACTTCAGTACCTCGGAGTCCATTAGACTCAAATATCACTGTGGGAATAAGGGGGCTTGTTAACAGATGAACATTCAAGCTTCGTTAGTGTGTCTACATTATTTGAGACCATTACAGATTAACCACGTTCAAAAAAAGACACCAGCTACTAGCCTGTGGCCGGAAAATACCAATTTACCGTAACACTTACTGTAAGAGAGTGTGCTAATGGCAGCCTAGGGCCACTGCCCTTTTTAATTCAGACTTCGGCGCTGAAGAAAGCAATCACTGACAACATTAATTATCAGTGTATGTGTAAAGGGACCCTCTTCTTGCATTACTTACCATTTGGCCTCTGTCATTTTGCATCAGACTGGCTTATGTATGCATCATTCACACTTTTCAGGAGGAACCCGCTAGTCTCACTGTCTCATGCAATGCTCAGGAGGTCTCTCGACACCGGTGGCTTTAGCCTCTTACAGCCCCAACCACAGACTGCACCAGGTTAAAAATGGCTGGTAGGGATTTCCCGTTTTAGGCCTGACCGGTCTGCAGAAAAATCTTGTTTCCTGCAAAAATGTTCCTGTCAACAGCAACGATGAGGCAAAACAAAGCCTTATGTTGTGCTGAAAGGGGTACTTTGATTTCAATTTGTGCTGATGGCAACAGAATTCATTAGCATATTCATTTCTGAGTACCCTACTCTCTAATTAAAATAAAAGATTTGCAAACAGACTTATCTTAAATGCATTGCAATTTTATGGAGTTTGGGCAGGGATCAGGTAGGCAATATCCAGCGAACAAGAGCAACAGTCGTAAAAATTAAAAATCCTGTCTATTAGATTTAAGTACTAGAATGACTTAGGTTAACATGGTACGTGAAACTTAATTCCTGGTGTTTTGTTAGCTGGATCTGAAAGCAGGCAAGCAGGAAAGGGAGAAAGCAAGAGCAAGCACGAAAAGGTACCTGCGTGGGACCTCTGATGAGTCCTGAGGTGACTGGGTTGGGTAAAGCATTTTCCACATTCTCTGCAGACGCAGTCTCCTTGGCGTGTTTGTGTCCTGAGCATCCCTGTAGTCAGGAGGGAGAGAGGAAGGGAGGGAGGAGGGGGGAAGAGGAGAGAGGAAAGTTGAGAAGAAAACATTATGCCAGAAGAAAACATCATTAGTATGTCTAATGTGTCATTATGTGAGGCTACCTTCAGGCCCTGGATGACAACTGTCAGCCTTCATCTAGGCACTGGCTGACAGGCCAGGCACACACAGGACTGCAAGAATGCATAAATTACATTGAATTAAAAAATGCTCCCCATGATGTGCCCGCACCAGGACTGGCATGTCAGGTGTGCGCTTTTCAGAGCAGCTGGATCCACTTCTCAGCCATCACCCAGCTTTGTCAAGCAGTACATCAGGCAAATCAAAGTGACTCCAGCGTGGCGGAGACAAGTCACATGGATAATAGGAAGTGAGTAGGACCAGAGCCCGACTGTCCCCCCCGGGCAGCAATACCTCAGAGACAAATGCAGAGCGAGTGGAGCCATCACAGACGGATCAAACCTTTCGCCCCTGCCTACCTGCCTGCCGGTGCTGCTTTGACCCTGGACCTCTGAGGCACAGACGAAAGACATCTGTGAATGAAAGTGTCATTCCGGACATTTTGAGCTGGTAGCAGTGCAGCAGCCTCCCCCCAGCCCTGCGTAAACATGTTTTCTAGGCCATTAGCATTTGTGGAAAACCACTCAAACCTCTCCTTTTTCTCCAAAGGTCAGTTTACAGCATCTGACTTAAAGGGCTGGTCTTTGTCTTTTTGCTGCTGATCAAAAAAGACACATTTGACTTTTATTGGGCTTTTTTGTTATTCAAAAAAAGAAAATAATGTTTGAACATCATCTTTTCTATTTTGGTAAAACGCCCTCCTCAGAAGGGAAGAGTTGATGTTTCCATTTGCCACCAGAATACTTGGGCTTTTAAGGAAATTCTCAGGGGGTTGTTAGTGGAAGTGAAGTTTCAGCTTTTCTTTCATTTTTTCCCCCCTCTTACAATATTTTAAAAGAATAAAATTATGAACAAAAAAGTGGCAACACCCCCCCCACACACACACAATTGAAAAATGAACTGCAGCATGCCAGAGGGCTCATCTGAAATACAGATGCTGTACCTGAAAATGAACGGAAAAGAAGATGGGCTGCCATTTACTCTGCTGGTGTGGCATCAAGTGTCCTGCGATGGTTTTTACCACAGCATATATTGAAAAAGAAATGTCTGACTGCAAAAAAAAAAACCCACCACCAAAACCCACTCACAAATTGTTCTCTCTTTTTATAACAGCACCTCCTGCAGATGGCAGCACAGTCTGTATAATGTAGCTGAACACGCTCACTCCCAGCAATTAAGTTCCTGGCAGTCAAATACAAGATCGTGAATTCAGGGCCAAATCCAGTTCACATATACCGCTCCCCCAACACACACACACAAAACCCCGCCCCAAAATCACAAAAGTTTCAATGAGAGCTTCACCATACTGCAACGAGAGCAGGTTTGCCTTGCAATGCAGTCAAGATTAAAGCAGATTTTCTTGTCTGTTACGAGCATTTTCCCCTGACTGGCTAGAACTACAGCTGCAAGCTTGAAAGCAAAGCTGAGCAAAGCATGTTGGGCGCCCAGACGTGGCCTCTACCGGACCACTGTGATGGCCACCAGACAGGCTACCGGCAGAGCAGCTCCCCTGGAGCCTGGGAGACCTGGGTTCCTCAGGTGGTTTTCTGCCACCTCTGGAAAGACACTGAATCTCTCTATACCCCAAGGCTCTCTCTGTGAAAAGCAAATACGCTTGTCTCAGCAGCCATTATGGGCCTGATCCGACAGCCTTCATGGAAACACTGCTCTCGCCTGAGTCGCATGAGGCAGGTTGAGAATGCTGTTGTAAAGCCAACATGCCCTGTACAAACGCCGAAGGTGAGCAGGTTAGGACTTAGTCATCTAAGTCCTCCCTGGCACTCACTTTATCATAGTTATTTAAAGAACAGGTGGAAAAAATGGATTGCTTCCAGGTATATTTGCCACTGTTGCACTTCCTAAGGAGGACCATAAGGCTTTTGATAGTTCAGAGCTTTGAGCTATGGGCATCACCGCTGCAACACAATACCCTTAGGAGTCATCACTCAGGTTATCCTATATGTGAACAAAAGAGGGTGGATGATTACAGGTGTTTGCAAATTAAGGTAAATAAACGTGACTATCTGAATAGGAAACCGATGCTCAAAGCTGGTCTCAAAGGAGCCCCAGGGAGCGAGTGCATCTGCTGCCATAACCCAACCTTTCCTAATGTGGTGATTCATGTAAGTATCATGAATAAAATAAATACCCACTATTAAATCTAACAATAAGATTCTCTCTACAAGGGTTTGGGAAGATTGGGCAGCATGAAACAAACCTAGCCTGAGCACAGCAAGATTTGTGTTTGTGGCTGTATCACAACAGTACATACAACAACTCTCTCTTCCAAGGATACACTGGAATAGACACAAATGTAAAAAGAAAGGATCCCAAAAATAAATCAAATCACTCTAAAGGAAGCTGAATATTGCCGTATCACACAATAAAATATTCTACTATGATCCAAGATGAGGTAGTATACCAAACATCCAAGTAAAGCCTATTAGGAACATTCAAATGGGCAAAAAAAACCATGACAAACAGTATACCTAAGTGGGATTTTTGGTTGTTGTTTATGTCATGATTGCCATATTCACATTGCTGTATTAAGATTTAATTGTGTGATGCATACTGACTCAGAGGGCACAGAATAGGGCCGTGTATTATTTCAGACAAGGTTCATTTACCCTCCTCTATTCACAGTTGGTAGGATCTTGTTCCTTTTGCCTGCAGCAGCTTTTTATTTTAGTGCTATGAAAACCAGTCATCATGCCAATTGGTTTGGAGATCCATCAACAACCTAGAAGTTGTATATAAAATAAAGACAAGCTACATAAAAAACCAAAGCTTCAAATTCTGAAAACTTGATCGCTGTAAAACACTTGGAACGAAAGAAGGGATTTCAAAGCAGAGATGGGCACCAAGTAACTCCCTCTTGAAGTATGTCTGGAATCACTGCCCAGCAAAAACATTTTGGCAGTAAAATCCCTCTTTTAAAAAGCAGGTAGAGACCTCACTGGAAACCCTGCCTCTACTTTACTTTGCCTCAAACGGTCCTCATGTTTTTTCAGGTGCCTGCATTCACTAAGTCAGCTTCTCTAGTTCCTGGCTTTCACTGTTTCTCTCCATTCCTCTTAAGATGGCTGGGAGGTCACTGGATCGATAAGATTCCTCTGAGCAGGCTGACAAAATTTAGTATTAAATAACATCAAGGAGGACACTCATGTGAAAATATCCCAAGTTGATAGTGGAACAATTAACTTTAGAGAAGGAAGCGGGCAGGGACAATTTTTAGACAACATCCCTAGGCATTGGGATGGCAAAAGCAAAGTTGGTTGGACAAAAACAGGAACACTGCCCCTGCATTTTTAGAAACCCAGCATCTCCTCTGCTTCCTTAACAAAACCCAGGAGCCTGATGTTAGTTGCAATCATCACGCAGTCTCTAACCACCTGCGAAACGATCTACTCAATAGTAAAAAATAACAGTCAGCTCCTACGCAGCATTACTTTTTAAATGATCAAGCAAAACTGATAATGGAGTGGTTGAAAGGTGCACCTTGTGGACTATTCCAGAGATTTTGCCTTTCTGTATTCCCCAAAAGGCCTTCCACCAAGACCTGACCAAATACTATGGCTCCTTCCTTGCCTCACAGCTGCCAGAGCAGTCAACTTACACACACCTTCCCAGCACTAGACCATAGCAGTCCTTAGACTATCAGCTTCCAAATGTCCTGGGTTTCATCCCACTTGCAAAATGGGGTCACAAGCTCCATTTAACACACACCTTTGACAAAACAGAGAGCAATATGTCAAGTGAGGATGCTAGAACACTGGTCTGGAACATTTGCTCTTTCCACGTGGAATTCAGTTCTTGCACAACTTTTATTAAGAGAAAAAGCATACAAAAACCAGGATGGTTTACAAATGGTGAGAGCTGGGACTATGGCTCCCATTCTACTCCCCTACACGCCGCCCCCCATCTCGAATAATAAATCAGTGTGATTTTCAATTTCCACCGAGACAAACTAATTCTGGCAGATAGTCAAAAGAGCATGGTTTCAAATGCAAATACAAAGGGGTTTTTTTTTGTGGCGTATCCCTCTTCTTTTTACGTGGCAGTTGACTGGCAAGAGACAGAAGGAGAGCTCTGATAATTTTTTAGTCCCTGAACTTTTAAACTGGCTATTTGCACAACTACCTTTCCTTGCTTACGTGAATTAGCAAGCACAGATTCTGCCCTACCTCTTTTTAATTACAAACATAGAAACAGATCAAAAGAGTATTTTGAAAAATATGATAGCAGTCTTTGGTATGGACAAGGAAGATCTTAAGACTTTTGTCAAGAAAGACAAAGGACAATGATAAGTAATTATCTCTGTTATTGGAAGGCTTGTTTGCAGACGAAATTGAACAAAACCTCCAAAATAACATCACAGATAAGCCCCAGAGGATGTTTATTTTGCCTGAAGCAAAAAGATTATGACACGTGCCAGCACCAGCGTATCAGAGGGATCTTCGCGTTGACAGCACATCTATGTAACTTTAGCCTGCTTGAAGCGAGGGGACAAAGGAACAGTAATACTCCAGGTGGAACCAGATACATTTAACCTGTGACAGAAATGTCACACAGTGCACAAGGGGGATGCTGCAATGTTGGAGATCCATAAACAAACCTATTCAGGCCCATCCAGAAATGATAAAAACAATGAACTTGTAAGCCCAACCGTTAAAGGGAGAGAAGGAAAAAACTGTGAAACAGCATGTCATGGCTCTGACTGAAGCAGGAACAAGCAAGTCATGTCCTCAGCTATGGAAGGGCTTGTGAAAATCTTACCTGCGTGATCCAGGACAGGGCTGTTGGCACCGCAGGTTTGGTACAACGAAGCAAGGTCCTTTGGAATGTATGTTTTAAAGATATTTAAAATGTCCAAACGTTTCTCATGTCCGTCTGACCCCGGATCCTGTTTGCTGGAGTGTAAAGCTGGAGGAACTCCCGCGGTGCTAGGCTGGGGCTGCAGCAGTGGACTCGCTCGCGCTACTGCTGCGCAGTTTGCCAATGTCCTCATCTCATTCCCAGCCTTCACGTGAGACTCTCTCTGAGGCACCAATGGCTCTTCGTATTTAGCGTACTGCTCGCTTTTACACAGAGGATGATACTGTGACAGTGGGTTGAATTTGGCTTTCATGGAGTCGGATGCACAGTTCTTACCTGGAGGGGCAAAACTAGTACTTCCTTGGGGAACCATGTACTTTTCTACTTGCTTACTGTTGGTGGGCTGTGTGCTAGGCCTGGATACGACTGCCTGAGTAGGTGTTGCACTTCTGCTATAGGCTCCCATTTGCATAAGTTTGGAATTCGCTTCATGTTTACCTTTTTGTTGTGCTGCTATGCTGTATTGCTCCTGGGAATGGTTTAACTTGGGCTGTCTATACCCATCCAGACCTGATAATCGTGGACCACAGTGGCCGAAGGCATGACCGTCTTTTGACTGATGAGTACTCCCAGACTTTGCAGTCATCCCAGCAGAAAGAGAGCTGCTTTTGGACCCTGGAAATGCACTTGGCACTTGAGTGCGTGTAAATCTGGCAACGGGCAAAGGCTGGCATTCCTTACCTCCGAGAACAGGAGGGGGGCCGGTACGCCCACTCCTTGCCAGAAAGACCAGGTTGTTTTTAATACTCTTGAATCCATTCTGTTGAACCCAAGGGGGGACCATCGAATTACAGCTGATTTTGTGCAAAATTCTTTTGTGCATCCACAGGACTTCAGGGTAGTAAGTCTTGTGACTGCAGAAAGGACATGGGTAGACAATTAAAGCAGCCTGCAAGGATGTATTCAGATTTTTATTGCATGAATTATCCCTTGTTGATTTTTCACTCAAATCGAGTGGAGCTACCTCTTGATCTTCAGCACCTTTTTCTATCAGAGGATGCTCCCTGTGTAAGTCTAGCAAATTTTCTCTAGCACGACTAGTCTGCACTTCAAGTGACATTTTCAAGTCCATGACCATGTTTGCAGGTGTCTGGCCCACACAGGAAGCAAAGCTAGCAACGCGACTGGAGCAAGGAAGTCCTTGGCTGTGGTGAAATGCTGGCATCTTTACATCTGCCGAACCTTTTAGATCTTGGTATTTCAAAAAGGGTTCCTTGATGACACTCTCCAATGCTGACACTAGGGCAGGAATCTCTGATTTAGATTCCCTGGCCTCATTTTCTCTGGCATTGCGGCTTCCCAGCGTCGGGAGTTCATCCAACTGAGATGTTACCATTGGGGTTTCCTCTTTAGAAAAGTTGCAGTGGTATGGCTTTTCATCTGAATGGGACAAACAAAAAGACATCATTGTCATTTTATGCAGAAAGGAGCCCAAAAGACAGAGCAGAATTCAAGATTAGAGTAAGATAGCAGGAGAAAAAGCAAACTTTGGTATTAGTATCGTAATGACATGCTACAGACTAAATGTACTGTATAAGCAAGAAAATCTTGAAATAGGATAACAGTTCAATTTACTTTTAAAGATGACTGTGAAGTCTGGATAAACTCTCTAATGCTGCATGTTCATAACATTTTGAAGAAAGAACGATTCAATAATACACCCATGTTAAAATTTTGGGACTGCGAGAAAAATAAGCAAATATGGAACCATTTAACCCTTTAAGAAAAGCAAAGATAATGGAGCCAGATAAGACTGACCTAGTTAAAGGTCTGTCAGCGCTTCCATTACAAGCCCCTATTTTCAAAGGGTTTATAACTCAGCAATAAAAATTGGCTCCACATGGAAACCAAGCATACAAGCAGGTACAGCATACAGAATAAATTGCTCACTTAAGAGGGACTTTTGCAGTGGCCAACTACAAAAGATGAGTTATGGAGGATAGAAATTTTGAATTTTATGTCTATTACTTTAAAGCAGATACTTTTTTTTTTAACATACATTTACATTTGAGTCAAACTTTAAGAAAATTTTATGACTGCTCGATCCACTGAGAGATAAGGAATTCAACATTTTCAGCCGTTTAGATTATAGAATTCAAAGATGACTTTCGATTCTTTTGCTGGGAGCACGGCTACCTCTGTCTGCTCTCTGAGCAGCTGCTGAAGCCGTTGAATCCCTCCAAATCAGTTCACAAAACACTTCCACATAGATTTTCATCACAGCAATAATGCTTACTGCACTGAATCCATTTAACAAGTAACTGAACTGAATCATCTGACAAACTTTTAGTTTCAATTAACATAGAGTTAATGAGCCACTGTCAGGCAAGCGTAAGGAGACCATGCTCCATCTAAAATGTCACGAGTCCAAAGTGATCACCGCTTCCGTAGGAGGAGTGAGAATGGGAAAGGAGTGAACTGCTCTAGAGCTGCGTATCCTCTCGCATCAAGTCATAAAAGACGGCGCTTCAGAAAATCAAGTGCTGTTCATTAATGCAGCGCAGTGCCATGGGCATTACTCTGCATGGCACAGTGGAAGAAGCATGTCTTCAGCTGGAGTTTCACTGCAAATAAAGTCAACTTAGCCTCACCTTCAATTCAAGCAAAAAAATTCTTAAGCTTTTGTTTAATTCAAGGTAATTAGGTTAAAATAATCCATATATTTGCAGCCTTGCAGAGCTGAGTGCTCACTTTAAGATCATTTTCCTTTCAAACTCTCTAAGGGGGTAAATTCAGGGGGGGAAAAAACCCCACAACCCAGAAACTTGGTTTTCCTGTGTTGCAGGGGGCAAGGCTTTGGGAAAGCACATGCCCAGCACTACTAGCCAAATTTACAGTTTGAAACAAAGACACTGCATGCAGCGGTGAAATCTGACACTGCACATCTGTGTTATTTTCAAAGCACGTATGTCAAAGCCCAAAATATTTGTGCTCTTAAATAAGAATTTAAGGCTTCTCTTTACGATCAGAAGGAGTGGCTCCTTTGATCATCATAGTCAATAACAAAGCAAAGCAAAAACAACTCATTCAGTCCTAGCCATACTCAGCAGAGACTGAACCAACGTACTGGCAGAGGAGGGAGGTGGGGGACCACCGCCAGCCCCGCTCTCGAGGCCTGCGGAAATGGGAGGCTCCGGCTGCTCTCTGGTCTGCCCGTGCAGCCGTGATGATGGGCAGGCACCTGTGACTCCCAGATTGCTCTGCCTACCTCAGATACTCCTCAATGCTCTCTGACTTGGTCACTCCAGGTGGAAAATGTAGCATGAAGTAGGAAAAAGATGAAGGCACTTCTGAGGTCTATCTAGCTCTGCAGTTGCCACAATGCTGAAGGCATACGCAGTCAGTACAATATATGAAAATTTGTAAGGCTATTACGAATCATAGCTTCTAACATCTCTTTGTAGTGTCTTGCTAGATTCAATTCCTCTGATGTCTCACACGAGCAGTATTGAGCATACTCGGAATAATTTTAAACGCTTAGATCAGGAGTCTTAATAGCAGTATTTGTGTTAATTACTCAAACTCAACTTGCAGAAAAAAAAAAAAACAAGAACAAAAACCAAAAACCAAACCCACACCCCTAGCCCCCCTCCCCAAGATTTGGACAGACACGCTTTTCACCTGCAGGGCAACTAATACTTTTTCACCAGTACAAAGCACAGAACAGCCTAAGCTTTCCCCAGCCCCATCCTGCACTCCATCAGGGACCCGACACTCCAGATATTGACACCCAGGCTGAAACACTGCCACGTGCCATCCTCCCCGTCATGGCTGGTGGTCCAGGCTGGGCTGAGAGCAGGTAGCAAAAGCCCGGGGGGAAGAGGGAACGCAGGCAAGAGCAAGAGGAGACAGTACGTGACCCAATAATACAGGCAGAGCCTCTTTAGAAAAATAGATTAAATTTATTTCTGACTGCTCCCAGCCGCTTGCCCCAGCTGAAAAGGGGTACTAACAATCCTTTTAAATCACTGGTATAAAATATTGCTCTAACCAGCCCAGCGCAGGCATTACTGTCAACAGAAACTTTCAAGGTTTTATTATGGCCAGGTCAAAGCAAAAAGCCATGAATGGGATGCCTCTTGCACGATCTCCAGGGACCATAACTCACATTCCCCATCAAGAGTTCTTGGCTAAGCGTGCTCTCACTTTCTATCCTACAGCCCCTGCCATCTCCTCACATTTGCCTCAATTCCTTTGTTTCTTACCCCAAACAGCCATTCACCTGTTTTACTTAAGAGTGAGAAAGGTCCTTTTACCACATCCCTGAAGGGCTACAGTTTTTCTGTGGCACGGATAGGTGGCCAATAGCTGAAGCTGAGGAATTTTGCAAGGTGCCCTGCTAGGCAGTGGCTGCTGATGCCATCTCGTGCCTTCAGTTTGGCCATGGCTTCAAATACTGATGGCACTGCAGGCCACTGAGAGCAAAGCAGGACAGCGCGAGCGAAGCACTTAGCTATATAGGAAGCCATGGTCTAGAAACACAGGAACATTCAGGGGTTTGACCAGTTCTTCAGAAATACAGCTAATTGCCATCACTTAGTTACGTATCTTACGCAGGCAGACAAAAGTGACTCCCCTTCTCCCCCCAGCCCACCTTCCTCTCCCTCACATGCATGAACTCCACTGGTTTCCTCCCCAGCCCTGTTCCTCCACAAAACTGAATCGCAGAATGGGCCGCACAGCTGTTTTAATTCATGAGGCTTCCTATAAAGTAAACCAGGCTACAAGCCTGAGGACAATGAAACTGTGATTTCTATTCAGAAGAGCAGAACTGGCTAGAAATTGGCCCCTTTTCTGGCTAGCTTTACAGCACTAGGAGTCGAAGGGAAAGGAGCAGATGCAATGTGTTTGATTTTTAGTAAACATTTGATAGTGATTTGCACTTTGAGATGAATGCTGTGGCTCGATTTGAAAACTGGCTGCAAATAAATCATGATAAAAGCAAAGGATAACACTGGAAAAAGGTGCAATATTGCAAAGATCTGTATTAGGTCCTATTTCACTTTGTATTTTCTTTAATGATCCAGAAGAGACTCTAGACAGCATGCTAACTTACATCTCCAGGAAATATCCTATTTGGAGGAGCTGCAAAAATAACGGGGACAAGGAAATCATGCACAGGGACTTAGAGAGAAAAGAAATGCAGTCTGAAAATAATCAAATGAGATTCATTCTGGAAAAAAGCAGGCTAAGACAAGTGAAGGGAAACGATCCAAAAAACCCCATGCAGTGGGAGAATGAGATCTGGAAAGCAGCAATGTTGAAAATAACAGATGTTACAATAGATGGCAAGTTAAATATGAGTGTACGAGGCGAGGTTCTTCAGCTTAGCTTTCACAAATAAAAGTACACATTATAAAAATAAAACTACTAAAACTGAAGAAGACATATAACGGCCATGCTGGTCACATAATTTTATATACACACACATATATATATAAAAACTAAAATATATATACCATAGTAATGGGCAATATTTAAAGCCCATAGTAAGCACAATACAATGGGACAAAGCACAGGAAAAAAGGCAAAAAGCGGGTTTGCAGCAGAAAATTGAGGTCTTTTATCCTGTGAAAGGAAGGTCTAACAAAAATATTCCACGCCCTGAGAATATCTGTGCAGATCTGCAAATGCGTACAAATCAGAAGGACTTCAGAGAACTGCAACAGAAAGGTAACCGACCAGAAAATAAAGATAAAGAGTTAAGTACCCCTCACAGGGCTGAGGGAAGATGGGAGGGTGACGGGCCAACGCCTCCAGCCTCCCCAGGAGTGCCAAGCTCTAAAAGAGAGAATTATGTCATCCTGAGCACTGGAGTCTATCACAACAATCAGATATAATTGCACGCAGGAAAACTCGTGATGAACAGAAAAAAAATCCCAATTACGTGTATTTGCAGCTTGCAGAATAAACGTCAAGGGAAGAGATGGAACGCTGCTTGGACTGTAAAATCTATATGGACAAAACACAGATTATCAACACATGATAAAAATCCATCCTTTTCACAGGGAGGCAGAAAGCACGACGTCTGCTCTAGCAGCACAGCAAACCAAAAGCCCTCATAAGTTAATATCCACATGCTACAACTGCATTGTATACATAAGCCAAAACCAGCCTTCCTTTCATACTAATTCCCGAGGTGGTTAGCCAAGGAAAGGACTCCTGGAGCATTCAAAGGTGAGCCTGTGACCCTCCCTAGCAGCAGGTTTATCATCCGAGCACAGGTTGGGCTGTTCAAAGAGACCTGGTAGCTGTTTTGCAGAGGATGATTTGTCTTACACCAGCTCTGCCCCCTGTTCCAGCTGCTTGCATGTCTAGTTTTTATACTCCATGTGCTATCTGCCACCCCCTCTGCTTTCTGCTCTGGCTGTGTCACTCAG